GGGGGGGGGGAGAAACAATGGGTCTCCTACGCAGACTCGTAATGAGGTAGTGGCCCAGAAGTCATCTGATGTTACTGAGGGCCGTCGGGGCTCAGGCTGCGTGACGACCCAGGAGCTGCACTGTGCATGCGTGCAGGTGTCACCTGTGAGTGGGTGCATGTGCCCAGGCCAGCAGAGCCGAGACAGAGGTGATGGGAGCACACACTGTGACCCTGAGCGGGTGGCAGAGCCCTGCTCTGCGGCCGGGGCCCTCGTGATGGGATGCTGCCTAGGAGCTAGGTCAGGGTCACAGGCCGCGTGTTTGCTCAGGCTGCCACAAACGGGGCAGAAATCCATTGTCTCACATTCTGGAGGCCAGAAGTCCAAAACCAGGGTGTCGTCAGAGTTGGCTCCTCCGAAGGCAGTGACGGAGAGTCTGTCCCTGGCCTCCCCCTGGCTTCTGGCAGTCACCAGCAATCTGGGCGTCCATTGTCCTGCAAACACATTGCCAGTCGCTGCCTTCATTTCACGTGGCATCTCCCTGTCCAAACCTCCCCCTTTCACAAGGACACCAGTCACACTGAGTGGGGCCCAGGCTACTCAGAATGGCTGCATCGCAACCACATCTGCAAAGACCCTATTTCCAAATCACCATTTTCTGAGGTGCTGGGAGTCAGGACTTCAACATATGAATTTTGGGGGATACAGTTCAACCCTAACAGGTTGTAGGCTTCCAAATCCCCTAGACAGGCCTGTCCCAGCACCAGGCCCACAAATCCAGATCTCCAGGGGCAATCCCTGGGCAGGGTTAGCCTCTGGTCTCTCCCACATTCACGGTGAGGGCAGCCGGGGCCGGAGGACGGGTCCATCAACCCTGTGGGTCAGAGTCCGCACTGCGCCCTCTTGGGCAGAGTGTCTGGTGAAGAAATTCTGCTCTTGCTAATGGACCGTCCCCTGCAAGCTGTGCACTGAACCAGCTCTTCTCTGAGGCCTGCTCAGGGAGCTGCAGGTCAGGGGAATCTGCAAACCATGTTTCCACGCTTCGGTGCACTTAGGGGCCGGCCGTTCTCTTATGAGGTAGAGCAACAGCTTCTACCAAGTACAGATCGTTTACAATGACGACCACCAGCCAGAAAGGAAGGGGCTGCACCGGGATCTGCTATGAGCCTGGGTGACCCACGGTCACATTTTGTGAAAAAGTGCAAAGGAAAAGGCAGGCAGGCTGTGAGCAGCATCGTAGGCCGGCTCACTGAACCCCACTGTGGGGACAGAAAAGTAAAATTCTTTTACCTTCCTAAGTTCTTCGGGCTGCACTAAATGACCGTACTTATTGCATGTGCATGATGCCTCCTAGGAATGAGACCTGAGGACAAGTGGGACAGTTACGGCTTGTGTGCCCTCCAGAGCTACGGAGAAGAGGGGTGGGCTTGGGACTTCAAAGGGCAGGAAAGTAATTCACAAGATGGAAAGGCAAATGTTTGTAAGTAAATGTTTGCTGGGCCATCTTGAACAAGGGGACACAGAGAGGGCTTTGGTCAAGGACCTGCCAGGTTCCTCCCTGCCTGTCACACCTGGTTCACAGTAACCATACTTACCTACACGCTAGCTCCCTTCCTGTCTAAATCACATAGCAGGGAAGGGAAGGTCAAAGGCAGGGAGAAGGTCAAAGTTTCTTCCTGCGTCTTTTGTTAAAATAACCAGCTAATGTGGGACATTCACACCATGGAATACTACACAGCTGTAAAGAAGAATCTTGTACCCTTTGGGACAGTATGGATGGACCTGGAGAAAATTATGCTGAGTGAAATAAGCCAGGCAGAGAAAGACATCACATGATCTCGCTTATACGTGGAATCTAAAGAACTTAATAAACTGATGAACAGAATAGATTCAATGACATGGAAGCATAGATGAGACTGACGAATGTCAGGGGGATGGAGGAGGGCAGGTGGGTGGAGGGGGAGAGAGTAACCAAAGAATTTATGTGCATATAT